AAGCTTGCTAATCACCCTTTTGTGTGCATTCACAGAAGACCACGATGAAGAAAGAGAGGTTACTTACCTGTAACCATGGTTCTTCAAGTGGTCATTCTGTGAATTCACACAATCCCGCCTGGCCTCCCCTCTATCTGTCACTGTTTGTGTTTACTTCAGGTCCAGGTACCAGTGGCGGATAAATGGAACTAAGGCTCGGGTGGGCGGAGCATGCGCAATGTAGGCAGCCCTACAATTGTTACATTTCTCTTACAGCTCGAGAATATTCCAAGAGGACCAATGCTGGCGCTTGGTTAACCCTTTTGTGTGAATTCACAGAATGACCACTTGAAGAACCATGGTTACAGGTAAGTAACCTCTCTTTATAAGTGACACTTGGCATTATACCTTTAAAAACCCTTGAAATAATATTTGATGTCAGTTTCATTTGTAGTCTCTTGCTTTATGTAGTAAGTTGCAGTAGAATAGGTCCATTGAATCAATGGGGATTTGCTAAGCCAACTACTAAAGTTCCATTGATTCAAATTGCCCTACTTTAGTTACAACTTACTATGTAAATTAAGTTGCAGACAGGATAGGCCCATTGAATCGATGGAACTTACAGTACAGAACTATTGACTCACCAGATCTGTGCTGATGCAATGGGTCTACTCTAGTGCTACTTACTATGCTCATGGAAATAACATTTCAGCGATAAACTTGCTCATTCATTTTCTTTCCCTTTGTGGCTGTTTGCCTTGTTTCTTCAGAATCTACTTACCAGTTCTGGTCTAAAGATGCCTCTATCAGAAGAAGAGGAGAACACTCATAAATTGTTAACATTACACCGAAACAAGTCATCCGGAAGCCCGCTGCAGGTAAAATTCCACTTTATTTTATGGTAAAAGTAAAGGTTCCCCTGGACATTTAGTCTGGTCATGTCTGACTCTAGGGTGCGGTGCTCATCCCCCCTCTCCAAGCCATAGAGCCAGCGTTTGTCCATAGACAGTTTCCATGGTCACGTGGCCAGTGCGACTAGATACAGAACACCGTTACCTTCCCACCGTGGTGGTACCTGTTTATCTACTCACATTTGCATGCTTTTGAACTGGCAGGAGCTGGAACAAGCTATGGGAGCTCATTCCATCGCGTGGATTCGATCTTATGACTGCTGGTTTAACCCGCAGCACCGCCATGTTGTTTTATGGTAACCCCCACCCTCCAAAAAAAGGAGTGAAGCAGTTATGCTTGGCTAAGGGCTGAATATAAACTTGGTTTGCTATTGGATGCAATAGAAAGTTTCAAGAAGCCTTTGCAGGAAAACTGACTTGCGGACCTTGATGACATCTTGGCACAGTGATTCAGAGATGGCATTTTTTTCTTCTTCTGCAACATTGAATAAGAGTTCTTTATGGTCTCTGTGACTCTCACACACGGGCCACCTCTTGAACATCTCACATACCTCAGAAACCCTTTTAGGATAAAGCCCCACTCCCTGGCACACCCAGGAAGCACTTGGCCAGAGGCTGCTGACTGCAGTCCTAGAGAGCTACCGTCATTGGCAGCAACTAGACACACATAATACTACAACAGTGTTCCTAGTAAACAAAAAGTTCTAGTCATAAGAATAGAAACAGCACCTGGCAAATCAAACCAAAAGACTCTCCCAGAGGTGAGCAGTCTCCTGCCATCCTGGAACCAACATTCAACATCCAGAATGCATCACAAGCCTTACGTGGCCCCAGAATGTAGGATAAGTTAAAGCTGGAAGTGGCCCAGTGTCCAGTTCCATCTTCCTTGGAAAAGGGAGTGCTCTGGGGGAATAGATAAAGTACTGGGTAGGCCTGCACCTTGTTCTGACAAAAATAATTGATTCTGTGGTCTTTAGGGAATTTTTAAAACCTTTTTGCAAATAGATGCTTTTGAGGAGAGAATGGGAAGATCTGAAGACCCCCTTGGGACCTTATGTGACCCCCCCAAGCTGCACTTTGCCAGCCCCCCAGCGTGTCTAATTCAGCACTGTTTCCTCCCTCTCTCAATGGCAGTAAGATGCCTGTGGCAACCCCACAGTCCCATTCTGCTGATGCCCCCCAGCAATCAGCCTTTGGAAGCATCCTGCTTCAGATTCTGAAAGTAGTCCTTTGAGGAAGAGCAGCTTTACACACTGCCTCTTTGCAGTTTTCTCAGCCAAAGTGGTGAAGGATTCCTTTCTGCAGAGGAAGAAATAATGCACGATTAGAGTGACATTTCAAGTGTGTGACTTGGAAGGTTTGAAACAGGGTAGTTTGCCACCAGCTTTTATATCTGCAGAGATAAATTGAATGGCAGTTGCCCATAGAATAGTTTTACTGCTCTGGCTGAGTACTTCTTTTTTAAATCACCTCTACAAAGCTGAGCCAACAAAATATGTAGACTATTTTATTACTGCTACTTAGGCAAATAAGCACATTATGACCAATTATTCCTTAAGTAAATGAAGGAGAATTGGTTTATTGCCCTAACTTGAAATTTGCATTAGATTTTTATTTGTTAATCAAGTGCTGATAAACGGGCTTGCTCCCATCCCAGGAAATGGGAGGCAGGAAAACTTAAGAACTATAGATTTATGTGTAATTGTTTTGACCTGCAGATATGCAAAGTCAGCAAAAGAAAATGTACAAAAGGCTACACTTCCAGAACTCCCCTTCCTCTCCCTCAGAGAGACCCACAGCTGCCTGTCAGGTCATCCGGGAGATTGCCAGGGAGAAATAGGGTGGTGCCTGATCCTGCACTTTGTGTGCCACTTCACTCCTTCCTTAATGTAGAATAGTTAGGGAGCAGCATTGTCTCTGAGAAGAAGGGAGCTGGGTACACAAGCTGGATGTCATTCCTCCACCTGGCTGTCCTAGTCACATCAGGTGTGCAATGGCACTGAATATTCATGAACAAATTGCTATTTCTGGGTTACAGTTGTTTGCTTCATTACTAGGGCATTCCATTGCATTATTGCAGGACATCGATTATGGAACTGAGGTTTTTGATGGCATTTCCATTTTCTCTGGAGGAATAAGTTTTAAGGGGGGGAACTATATCTGTATGCAGGGTAGAAAAAGCTTACTACCTTTTCGTTCATGGTTGGCATGGAACCCTAACTGTGCGTGTCTCGTTTTGACATCATGATGATTATGTTTCCTAGTGGGATGGATAGGTGAGATTTTGTTCTTGACAGAGCTCTTATGAAAAAATGGTTTGAGAAAATCCATGGATTACCTTTTTGTTTGTAAATCTGAGAAGTGCTGCTGCTGAAAAAGAAAACCAGAATTAATAAATAGTTTGGAGGTCACACTTGTCTAAAAATCACTTGAGAAGATATAATCCTAAAATTTTGATGGCAGTTTTGCAGTTTAGGAATCATGGACCGCAGCCATTTTGTTTTCATTAGTTTGTTTCTTTGTAAAACAATCAGGTTAGTGTTCTGCTCATTTGCATCTGTTCAAGTGCAGCGTAACTGAAGACAATGCAGTAATTGCTGTTACTTCACTAAATTAATTGTTTGTGTTGGCCCGAGGTAAAATCCAGCTCCAATTAAAAAGTGTTTCTCCTGTTTGATTCCATATGGAAACCCATTGTTTTGAATGTGGAGTTGACAAAAATTAACACTTCTGTGTACTCCAGATTCATATAATCACTTATTTTTCTTAAGAGTTATGTTACAGAAAATATAACATGTGAATCAGCCTTTAATGTATAGAGCAGGGAGACGAACACACCTTTTCACAGACTTGCCTTTACCTCTCTATTTTTCCCTGGAGGGTTCACTTTTCTTTAAAGTGCTTTAACTGGATATCCCAGTTAAAGCTTTGGCTTTTGTTTACTGTTCACTCTTGCCCGAGGCAACAGAAGGCACGTTACAGGATAAGTGAGTCAATTGTGCTATCAGCAGAAGGATGTGCTGGTAGAACTACTGATGTAACCAAATGAACTGAGGTGACACAGCTGAAACTGTACCATGGGTTGACAATCAAATATGAACTTAATGTAGTTAACTTTTCTTATCTATAATTTTAGCATTGGAAGTATAGCTAACAGGAAATCTGATATAAAAGAATTAAAGATGTTGTTTTAGAAATACTTGTAGTAGATTAGCGAAAGACTTCTCGTCACTGATGTAACCAAATGAACTGAGGTGACACAGCTGAAACTGTACCATGGTTTGACAATCAAATATGAACTTAATGTAGTTAACTTTTCTTATCTATAATTTTAGCATTGGAAGTATAGCTAACAGGAAATCTGATATAAAAAAAATTAAAGATGTTGTTTTAGAAATACTTGTAGTAGATTAGCGAAAGACTTCTCGTCACTGTATAGCTAAAGGTGCTGATCCAAATCAGACAGGTGCCGATAGATTTGTGCCAGCTTTGGGTTACGTGCCCTTTGGGTTATGTGCATAATGTGTGCAGAAACCTGTGACGCAATCAAGCAAGAAGCAGTGGTGACTTAATTGTGCTGAAGTCAATGGAAGGAGGAGTAACAACCAGCTTTGCTTGGTTGCCTTTCCCTTTTTGCACAGCATGTTCTCACAAACAGTGGCTATTCTGTCTTTGGACCAGTAGCAGCTTGTGCAAGGTACAGAATGTTAAAGAAGGGTTTCTGCTTCTGTGAAGGGACATAAAGGGACTGGGCTACTGTGCGTTTCCCTGTGAACATCTTGGGATGGTTAGATGGCTCTCCTGCCTAACTAGGTGATGGCCTCCCATGAAACTGCCTTCAGGATGAAACAGCTCATGGAAAGAGGCTGCCAGCTTTGAACAATGTCCTAGAGCAGCGTTGCCCACCAGTTGTAGTTTGAACACAACTCCCTTCACAAATGGCTGGGCAGATTTGGAAGGCCCACACTTCTCAACTCTTGTCTTAGGAGTAGGAGAAGGTAGCCCTGTAATGTCTCAATGAAAATGTACACGCTCCCTGGAAGGAAATCATTCATGAGTGATGCTGAAGACCCATTCCTTTGCAGCTAAGAGAGAAAGAATTTTGTTTACAACTCCCTGTGTTTCTGTCTGTAGAAGAGCTTGATTCTGAACCTTAATGACGACTTGATGCTTTGCCTTTTATTTCTATGTACTGTATATGCTAGGCTTGGTTTTTCTGTTCAGGAGTAAAAACATCCTTTTAACCTAAGCATCAGCAACATAGCTGTTAAACTGCCAGCGTCACAACAGTAGCCCTTCATGTGAACTTCTTTTAAGTGGCTTTTCAATTACGTATCATAGCTTCCTGGATGCACTTACTTCTGTTGTGAAAAGTGTGTCCCAGATTTCAGTGGCTGATCAGTATTTCACTAGAGAAGTTCATAAAAGAGTAAAACAAAACAAACAAGTATTTATTTATTTATTTATTTATTTATTTATTTATTTATTTATGTGAACTTCTTTTAAGTGGCTTTTCAATTACGTATCATAGCTTCCTGGATGCACTTACTTCTGTTGTGAAAAGTGTGTCCCAGATTTCAGTGGCTGATCAGTATTTCACTAGAGAAGTTCATAAAAGAGTAAAACAAAACAAACAAGTATTTATTTATTTATTTATTTATTTATTTATTTATTTATTTATTTATTTATTTATTTATTTATTTATACCCCGCCTATCTGGTCATTCCATCCACTCTAGGCAGCTAGAAGTGAAACAGTAGCTACAACATTATATTAAAAACTGCACACCCTAGAATAGAAATGTTTGGATTGCTTCTGTGGCATGGTACATACATACACATATGCATGCATGTATGTACCATGTTTGCAAAACTAGGCACTAAAACTTGCTTAACAACATCAACTGTAATAAAACTCAGCTACCAAGAATGAGACAGTAGGATTCCTCTCCTCTCTCTTACAATAAT